ATACTGTATCGATATTCTAAAGCCCTGTATCGATTTTTTAATTAAAGTTTAAAATGTCAACTTTCCTGCCAGCCGTTCATTTTTATGTTGTAGTTCAGCCTCGGACCACTAGTTGGCAGCAGTGAGCCAGCCATTTGGCTCCTYTACCTTTTGAGCGCCAGAGAGTAGCAGAGCATTAGCATTGTAAGTAAACATTAGCTTCATGCTCCGWTAGCTGAATCTGAGCGGAAAATACCGACACCCTCTGCCTTCTAAGCTGAGGTAAGGTTACAAACAGTTACTTATTTGTCAGAATGTCTGTATTTTAAGCCAAATTAAGTGTCTTGTGCGCTCTTTTTTCCAACTGTAGTCAGCTTTCACATTACGCATAAAGCGCATGCGTCTATCACCTCGAGCGAGCTCGGCACTCCTCCCGGTGACATAAAACTCTGTCTGTTGCTCTCAATGTCCGGCTGATGATCACATCAAAGTCCATATACTTTATCCTGCTGTGTTCGCTTCAAAAACGGTTTAACTCGTTTAGCTTCTCAATTTCTTAACTGGTTTTCTTCGGGACCTGCCCTGCTGTTCGACCCACAGTTACAGTATACAAATCAGGTTCTGGATGCAGGTCAGCTGATCCCAGAAACTCTGTGTGCAGCAGCTTGACCATATTGTAAATCAATACAAAAAACGAAAAGCTGCAAAAAATAAATTTTCAAACTATTTATTGGCAAATTTAGTCTAATAATTGAAAACATGGATGAAATATGAAACAAATAAAATAAAACACATACAAAGCAGAACACAGCTAAATGTATCAAAAGTATGTCTATGTAATATTAGAATTTTCTGAGACAAAGAATTTTGGTTTTTCTTTCCAGTAAGAGGTTTTTATTTAATAGAATTTTTGGACCAAAAATATCGCAATAAAAAAAATGCCTTGTTTACAGTATTGAAATATATCGGGATATATCGTATCGTGACCCCTCTGTCATGATATGTATCGTATCGCCAAATTCTTGCCAATACACWACCCTAATCTAAAGTATATTTTTTAGTTTTCTTTTATACRGTTCTGTTTGATTGGTGGCAGGTATTGTGATGAGAGATACACATCAATAGACTTCATTTGCTTTATATACCTTGTAATTTAGACTTCTGTGGAAATGCAATAGCTTGAGGCTAAAAATACTTTTTTATGCWTTTAAAAAAGCCCCAGGTGATTAAAATCTGGATGTTCATAGTTTGTAAGCACATGAAGTWGCATTCTGCGTACTATTAATTGATGTGCTCTCTTAAACTGCATTTTTATGAGGATCAATAATATGTTACACCTGTTTACGTTCTTTTTGTTTCTCTGGTAACTCAGTGAGTTGGCAACATTGCAGAATAAAAGGTCTTGTTAATCAAAAGTCACTAGTTTTACGTATTCTATAAAATGACTTTAATTCCTGTCTGCATGATATGTTGTAATCTTCACTAAATGTTTCTAGAAAAGAGAGGCACCTCATTGCGAATCTGTGTTTAGACTCTGTGTTTACATGTAAACCGACTCTGGTTCACTGGATCACTGCCAGTTTGCTACATCTCAGTTTGATATCTAGCTCTTCCTCTACACTTACAAAGACTGCCAATGAAAGTAGTATAACTAGGTTTTTTTCATGTAATTGAACTTGTTTGGTTGATCTAACTCAGTTACATAGAAAGTATTTAGTGCAGCCTGATGCCTTTCCCTCAAATTGACCATAACAGAGAAAATGTTGCCCATTTGATTAAATTACACAWTGATAAATGAGGTAATTTCAATGATTATGACAGTGACTAGGAAACATAACTCGTTAATGCATGKAAGCTGAGTTTTGCCTTCATTCACTTTTAAACAGACTTTAAATCTCCTTTTATTTTGTTTTATCTCTAGATAAAAACTAACAAATTAAAATGAATTTTTTATTTGTTGTTTACCATTTACTTGTAGGTGCTCTGGTGCTCCCTGGTGAAATATTGAGGAGCAACAGTCTGAGGTCTTTAAACTTACATTCAGAACACAAATCATGCCACTTCTCATTTGTAATTGAAAAATGAGTGCTGACAATTGTGCCAATCTGAGTGGAAGTGAATGAAACAGAGCATCGCAGAAATGCTGACGTAAGCCCCTCTCAGTGTTTTTCTGAATTGAGGTCATTCTGACTGAGGCTCAGTAGTTCCTGTACCATTTTGTGAACCACTTATAGACATTATTTACTTTCACCAACAGTGCATGTTATGTCCTATTTTAATTTATACTGTGTTATTGAATTATCATCACATTTTGAGGTATAGTATTGTGTCAGTCACACATCAAGCTGTATTTTCTTCTTAGGTTTTTATTTGGGTTTTATTTTCACTGATGTGCATATTATATATATATATATATATGTGTGTGTGTGTGTGTGTGTGTGTGTGTGTGTGTGTGTGTGTGTGTGTATGAAAAATAAAGTGAATTYGTATTTTGCATCACAGTTGAACCATTTTTATTATTAAAGCACAGATCGAATTGAATTGTGATTAATCGATGCAGAACCTTATGAATCGAAATAGAATTGATTTAGAGAATTGGCTATGATACCCAGCTCTATATATAAAGAAGTATATTAAACTGAAGGACACATTTATAATTAGCACTTTCAGTGTAGTAATGACCAATTTTTTGGGGTAATTAAATAATTTAACATTCTATAGAAAAACTTTTCTCTTGCTGAACTGGACTGCTTAATTACTAAAGTTTACTTATCAGGGTTTTATGTTCTAACAACATGAATACATGACAATTTTTCTTAAACTAAAAAGAATTTCTTTGTCATATATGCATATTGCAAATTGGTTAATATTTGTTAGCAGAATTCAATAATGGATTCAACAGAAACAATTTAGATAAGAAAAGTTGCCAAAAACTGTCAGGTGAACATTGAATTACAGTCTTCACTGCAAACATTGGCTAACTCTGACTAATTATCTTGTATTATTAGGACTAATTAAAGAAAAATCTAATCTTCTCTGCTCGTTTTACAAAGGCATTGTGGCCTGTGATTTTATAGTGACAGTTCCAGTGAGTGAGTTAAAAAGCCACTACACAGATGCTCTAGTTAAATTAGTTGAGTGCTTCTCTTTAAAAGCTGCAGAGTTATAGTCAGTCTGAAACACGTTTTCTCTTCTGTCCATCTCAGAAGACATATTATTACAYGCACCACCTGGCAAGGATTTTCAATAACACAAGGAGCAAAAGCAGGATATGTTTCTTGTTCATTTGAGGTTGGTATATTAATTTTAGGAGTTATGGTGTGAAATATGCATACTGGTATGGTTTTGTGTGCCCAAATTGGCTTTCAAGTTGCAGAATATTGCTTTGCGTTTTCATTTTTAAGGATCTGCATGGAGTGATGATCATATTTGATTAAGGAGGGACCCAAAGCTAATTTGATTAGGTTATTTAGAGAAATATGTGTGTGGTAATAAACATTTATTATGATGAAAAAGTTTACTTTAATAAGCAGCAGAAGCCCGGAGGACATGCAAGCTTAATTGTTAGGTGTTTAATTGCAATGTTGCGATGTTGCCAAGATAATGGGCGAAGAAAGGCCCTCAAGTCAAGGCAATTAACCAAACAGTGGTTTGATTGTTGTTAAATTGATTAGAAAATGTTTAAGTACTCTATCTGTAAATTAGCTATTGTTTCACGCAGTTTTCGACTGCCAGAGAATGCTGGGCTTAATGATACATACGCTCTGAGTTAGTAATGGGAAAAGTTGTTGTTCAGGTCAAATTATTAGCTTTACAGATGTTGTGAGTAGTGATGCAGCTACAATAAATGCACCTAATTGTGCCTGAGAGGAACTGATGTCTAAGTTAGTCAGGCTCATGTGGTTACCTGTCCGCACAGGAATAGTGAGGCAATTACCCACCAGGCAGAATCCTCTTTGCATGATGCATGATGAATATGACATGACTGATTTCTGGACTTCAAATAAAATCTCGGGCAGCATACGAAACCTGCAGAATACCGCCACTTTTCTACAGCTCATAGCGCCAGCTCCCAACTGTTGATCAGTTGTTGTCGACAAAAGTAGTGACAGATACGGTAGTTAGTGTGTCTGCACTGCCTTGCCAGGAGCGACAGCTGATGGAGATGCACAGAGGGAGGCGCAGGTTAAAGCCAATTTGTTTGCACGCCCCGGTATCAGTAGTTTCTTGATTAGAATAGTGGAGAAATCCACGGCTGGAGGCAGGCTTTATGACCATCACAGCCCCACATCTCCCGACTCATTAGTACTTTACAGCCTCGCGCCAAAACATATGGCAAGGTTGTTACCGATTCCCGTTTGAGGTGTGTTTCAAATGGTCGTCTCTTGCTGAGCCACAACCCTGTAGCATCCGCCTTTCTTATTGTGTCTGAGATGAAGAAAAACATCTGTCTTGATTGAAGTTTTGGTGTTATCGTTTGTGGTCCCTGTCACAACAAGAGATGCTCTTTAGAACAAATGTCACAGCAAAAAAACAACTTTTTGTGCCTTCAGACCGTGTGCTACTTATTGGATTACGCCTGTTTTGCGGTGTTGAACAGGTGTGGCTGTGGGTATCTTTTTTTGTCTCTGTATTATGTTTGTTTTTTAAAGTGTCCTTGGGGTATTCACATATCAGTCCCTGAACAATTATTTAAAATGTCTTCATAGAATCATAAGTGTTCTCATATCCACATGTACAAACTCAAGGTTTGCTTATTTATATGCAACAAAATAAGAGGTGTTAAAACTAGTCATAGATCCACCACTCCCTACTGTGGATCTTAGACATTTTGCTTTGTTTCTTTTTATGTGCATGCATGTCAATGGAAACCTAAATTGGTTTCACATAGGCAAACAAGACAGTGAGGACACTATGGGAAAACACTTCAATTGGAGCACTAACCAAGCATTCGGCAGTATTTTTATTTAATTTTATTTCTGTTGAATATTGTTTTTCATACTGTGCCCTCCCTCCAACAGAACATACACATAAAAACATTGGCTGATGATATGGTAAGGTGCTTGGTTTGATTTTGATGTGACTAGTTTTGTTTGACATGTTTTCATGTTTTGTTAATGACTGCATGGAACATTTATCTGAAATATATGGATGGATCAAATGTGCCTGCAAAAAAGGGAACATAGAATTTATTTGCAAAAACATCTTAAACTACACATTCACACATTTGCTACAGTAAAATGTGACTTTTGGGTTATTACGCAGTAGCACCCAGAAGACATAATCTGTCTTACTGGTTGGAGTATTTCTGTAATACTGTAAAAATGAGATTTGGCTTTTCATGCTACTTTTATATAGCACTGTTAGGCTTTCTTTCTGAACAGAACATAGATATAACTTTATAGATTTAATTATCAGTAACAATTCTGATTACATCTGTTTGTTTTAAACTCCTTTTGCCAAACTTTTGATTGAATCTTTAGCTTATAGTATGTTTGATCCATCAAGTAGTAATATTTCAATAAATTCATGTTAATTAGTGACATCATTTATGTCTTCAATATGTTTATCTTTTCAGTTAATTCATGTTAATTTGTCTAGCATGCCATCTCCTTCCATTCTACTAAATACGACTAACATCCACTCCCTGCATGTGATCCATGTACATTTTTTGTTTTGCATTCATTACATAACTGATGAAATTAACAAAGCAAGTTGAAATATTGGAACTAATTAAATAACATGAGTACAAACTAGAACATTTGGAGGATTGGATGGTGAGTATTTTTCTTATTAGCTTTCTACTGCATTCTGAAAAGAGGTCGTATCGACTGATACACACTGCTGATCTCTCTCACTCTCTTTTTTGATCAAAATGTTTTTTTCATCTGACAAAATCAGAACACAGTTACCCAAGTTTGTAGGTTGCAGTAAGCTGGTTATAACAGCAGCTGAATCTTCATTTTTCTGCTTGCTTATCAGCAAAGTATACACGAGTGTTGCTGGTGGGTGATTATTTAAAATCCAGCAAATATTAGCCAATTAATTGGTCAACTAAATAATCAGTTCACCTCTAATTATAATGAGTACATATAGTTTATGTCAACAAATAACTCTTTCAATTTTTATTAATTAGGTAGTACAAAATAAATCATTAAAAATGTCTATTGCTTTTGGAGTTTTGCTTTAGTGTTTAGCAAAATTTTTTTGTTTACAGCAACACGTTTTGAGCTGTCCGCAACATCAGGGTTTTCTGTTTATTGTAAATTGTGGGTGACACCAGGACACATGAACTTTTAATGTGAGGAAACATAAAGTTTAGTTTCCAGGCACCTTAAACCATTTTTTTTTTCAAATTATCTTTGATTACGTAGTTCATGAATTGTTTACACTATTTTAATATATCAAACACTGTTCTCTTTCAGCGGGATCGTATCACCAGTTTCAGGAAAACTGGGATGAAGAAGGAGAAGCCTCTCATACAGCACCCAACGGATCCCAGCTCTATTCAAGCCGAGCTGCCTGTTCCGCAGCCCCTTTTTGATGAGAGATCCATGAACCTCTCGGAAAAAGAAATCATTGACCTTTTTGAAAAGATGATGGTAAGCTTTCTGTTTCTTTTGTGAATTTCGTTCCTTGTATAGATTCACGTCTAACACTCCACAGGTTTATTATGCCTCCMAATGCCACACAGGAATAAATAGTTAACATTTTAAATGTTCCCTGAAAATGCTGTCATGAWTAGATAGTAACTTCGTAAAGCTTGTTTAATTTATTAGTGCTCATAAATTCTAGTTTTACTGCTGATGAGATAGGGTACAAGAAAATAGTAATTATTTCTCTTTACAACTATCATCTTTCATGCAACATCTCATTGTTAGACTCAATGATTTGCCTGCAGAATATTGCCCTGTCGAGATATTAGGGTTTATAGGTCTTACAGATAAACAACATAAAAGACAGTTTTAAATGAAAACTGGAAGGATACTGAACTCCCATCCAAAATAAAAAGTTAAATTTATTTGTGTAAATGCCCTGTCTCACAATAACAACCTATTATGTTTTTGTCAGACTTTGAAGATGTCTACACTGAATATGGAATAAAAAAAATGCTAATGATTAGATTAAATATATAGCCTGTATTATGAGTTATTTAGTCATAAAAATAAGTAAAAAAAAAACAAATAACAAGTTGGTATATGTTGTCTAAAATGTTATAGTGTGACAGGGCCTTTAATGAAAAAAAAAGTGTTTTTTTTTTCACTTTAGTTTAAGTTTGAAAACTACAACAGTTTTGTGAATGGATGTCCACATTATGTAAGAGCTCATTAAAACTCACTCTAGTGATGGCACAAAGACATGCATTTTTAATGTGACAGCAYTGTCATGAAATAAAAAAAACAGTGTCTTCAGTTCATATTACTGCCAGATAAACATATGAATATTGAAGGTCGCAGTCTGTAAACCTGTATAAAATAATTTAAATGTAAATTGACARCAATGGCAAGAGACTGCTGAAGCTGTGAATATTTTAAATGTTTGGCAGAATTGCATATCTTTCTGACCACAGTGAATAAAGAGGGAGAGAGGAGTTTGACATTCTTCACTGCATGTAGATGGTCTTAACTCCAGCCAGCTGAGCCGTCTGAATCAGTTTGTTCAGTCTGTTGATGTTGGACACCCTCAGGCTGTTGCTTCTGCAGACCTCAGTGCAGTAAATGGCACACGCCAYCACAGACTCATGAAACACCTGCAGTGCACATCGTGGTTCCACAGATGTTGAAAAAACACAGCCTCTTCAGGAAAAAGAACTATCTCTGTTTTTACTTTTTTTTTTAGAAAGCTAGAAATACTTTCGTCCAGCCCAGTTTTTTTTCCATCATGAGCAGCAATGTCAGCCTGTGCTATTTAATGACAGTTATCTTTCAAACAACATTTAAAATCAGGCACCAATGTTTACATTTTTAGTTTTACAGAATAATATAAACAGTTAAACGTTCCATTTTTTACTCTCCATCTTTTTGTGAGAATGTTTGATTTTTGATTAGCAATTTAGTCTTTATTTATAATTTAACTTGCCTGACTTGCATTCATACCATTCCACATTGTGAATCTTAAATAAAACCTTCAGTCTAAAGTTAACAAGCTATGATTTTTATTCTCTCTAACTTGTAAAGCTGTATAAACAGAACAACATTCATGCCTGATTTTTGGAGTAGAAAAATAATTCTCTAACAACAACAAAAGTGATTGCTAATTTTAGACCACAAGGCCAGAATTACATAAACATGATAACGTATTTATTCTGCAATACTGGCTCATAGCACTTTTTGATATCTGAAATATATGTTTCAGATAGTCAGTAATTTATTGCAGATGTCTTGAATTATCCTCATTACAGCTTAATGGTAAATGTGACATAATTTCTGCTCGTCAGAATGTAATTAGGTATTTATATAAATATGAACAGGTATTTTGCCTAGTGAAAGTATAATTAGAGATATCTTAATTAACTGTAGCCTGGCCCTTGCCTTCCTATTCAGTTCCRCTCAATTCTAGTTTCCCTTCACTGATCCACCTGGGATTTCTCTCATAGACAAGGATTTCTTTGGTAGAATTTTACCTGGGCCAATCAGCGAACAGAAGGAGGAGTTTTGAACGACAAAGTTGATTTTCTGTGCAGTGTCTGCTTGTATTTTAACAATGGCAGCAAAGGAAGTGAATGAAGCCAGTCCGTGTTGACAAGGCTTCCAAATTAAATAAAAATTGTCTCGCAAAGCCTGCAGGACTTATTTACAGATATCTCGTTCGGCTCGGTACTTCTCTCCTCTCAGTAGGGGATGGTTGTTTACAGCGTGCACACAATTTACGGTTAGCTTCTTAGCTTAGCCTCCTTCACAGTGAAGCTGGTGCACATGCGTCGCCAATCATTTTAAACTTCAACAGAGGCCACGCCTCCAGGAAGCAATCACTTGTCAACAGCCGAGAGTTCAGACYCTCTGTACGAAGCAAAGCGAAGAACACGGGGCTGGTTTTTACCAGGCTAAATGAACTAATATGTCTAGTCATAAACCAATTTCAGGTATCTGGAATGAAAGTGGGATGAAGCTGATTATATGTGACAACGGCCTGCCATACACATCTGTGTTTGCGACATTGGCTTCACTTGCTTGACACAGTTGCTGACAGGGAGATGTTTATGTTTTAGGAAGAGGGTTTACATAGAGGTTTCATTTTCATACACTCAGAATGTTCTACTGAGAGGAACTTTATCAGACAGTGGAACAGAATAGATGTGTTCCCACTGCGAGTCGGACCAGAGTCTGCACCACTGCAACTCTGGCACCAGACTCTCCGACACATTTTACAGCGGACTGAAAGCTGAAGTTTATCAGACCTTCGATACCTGAACCACTTCCACACCACTGAATTACAGTAGTCTTTTCTGTCTTAACTATTTCTTCTGCTTGTTTTTCAACTGTTGGCGCTTGTTCACTTACAGCTGTTGAGCTCATTTAGGCGCTGATATCCACTGTGTTGTACGTAGTGTTGTTAGTGTAGTAAAAACAGTGGTAGTGGTGAGTACTGGTGTTGAACCTATGGTGTACGTCATCACGCAACGTAATTTTATGTAATGTATATTGATCAGATTTTTACAGAAGTCATATCACTGTTATTGAAACATTATCTATCTATCTATCTATCTATCTATCTATCTATCTATCTATCTATCTATCTATCTATCTATCTATCTATCTATCTATCTATCTATCTATCATCCAGCTTACTCTGTAATGTGTTGATATTTCAGATGTTTTTGAAAATTACCACAGTTATGACACAAAGATTAGATTTAATATGAAGATTTGAATCCTTACATGCTATTCGTCAAACATTTACATAAATTATTTTCTGTTAAATTTACTCTCTTAAAAAAATTAAAACCTAAAAATAGACACATTTTATATTGAGTTTCAAAGTTCTATTCCCTTGACCGCTGTCAGATGCTCACCAAACTTTAAAATTCACTTCTCACTCATCTATGGGGTCAAAGCTCTGTCACACTTGTGATTTTCTCCATTCAAATGCATTTTTGGCCTTATGTTCCGCAGGATTGAAATCTAACAAAAAGCTTTCAGCCCATCTCTTTGAAGTGAGGAGCTGAATTACTCTGGCTTCATTGCATAGGTTGTGTGTACCATTGTTGATAATGTCTGAGTGACTCTGTGTGTGTGCATGTGTGTGTGTGTGGTTGGCATGGTGCTTACCTTTCCTGTATTTCTCGTACAATACTTTTTTTTTTATTGCCAGAGCCAGAGAAATACGATCAGTGCTCCTGGTTTTCATCAGGCCTATGTTCAGTGTTTTCTTGCCTGGGTGCTCATCCCTGTCACTCAGTTCACCTCTCAATTACTATGTTTGTGCTCACAGCGGCGTGACATTAAACCCAGGCTTCAATTTGCTCAGTGACAGATGACACAAAAGGCATGTTTGCTGCTCTGACATTTGACGGGCCTTGACACTGTGTTGGAAGTATAATTACAGTAATAAATTCTGAAAGAAAAAAAGACTTATTTACTTGTGTACGGTGGATGCCAATACTACTTACTCTCATACACTGTTAACTTTTTTTTGCTTTGATGTAGCAAAAGACAGAAACAACTATGGTGGGTGGACTCTTTTGATGCTAATACCCTTTCCTCAGTATCTGTCTGTGTTTGTTGCCTCTCATATTTCTGTCTGTTTTCTTTTTATGGTTTACACATACACACATACGTGCCAATTGCTAAAAAAACTTTTTCCACGTATTGCTGTTGATTGTTATTATGGTGTTACATGTTGTAGCCTTAGATCTCTAGCTGTCTTTAAATGAAGGGCTGACCCTTGCCATATTAGTGAGACCACCTGCTGTGCATTAATGACCAAGAGATAGAGAATTTTTTTTTTCTCTTTTTGCAATGTGTGTCTCAGAGCCTAGATAGCACATAGCCCATTACTGAAAGATCATTAAAGGGATCTGGTAAAATATAGGAAGAAACAGTCAGTGGCAAGGAAAAGCAAATGAACACTTTAAGTAACTTGAATGTTTTAAGCTAATCATTGAGAGCTCAACTACATTATTTTCACAAAACTAGCAAAAAATAACTTTCAGGGCTGTCTTTATGGTTTTATGTTTTATTACAAGATTTAGTACTGCTCGGGTTCAAAAACTCATAAATTTGCAGTAGTGGGTCTGCCGATTAAATGCCTATTTCAGGGCTATTCAACTGGCGGCCCAGTGACCAGAGTTTAGCCCGCCAATTGGTTTGTTCATCTCTTCAGCTCAAATCCCGGTTTTCTACATTAATTACTCTAAGTTCTTTTAGTTAAACATAGACATGTTTGGTATCTACAGAAACATCAGAATCTTGGCTACAAGCTGGTAAAAACCATTTCTATAAACACCCAAGACAGTTAAAACTACAAGCAGTTGAAGATAAACTGATGAAAGTGAAAATAAAATCGGTTTAAATTTTTGGCAAGTCAGAGATGTCAAAATATTATTTATCAAATAGGAGGCAGAGTGGGTTCTTTTTGTTTTTGATAATGTGTAATTATCACTACTTTTATAAGGTTCTGTATGTTGTATTCATGATTAAATGTAGCAAAAATAAACTAATTCAAAGGTAACAGATCTTTGTAATACTTGGTTTATTTACATAATGACTTTCATTGCTGGATGTTCGGCCCCTCAGCTGTTGACCGGCAGTAACTGTGGCCCCCGGAGCAATTTAACTGAATAGCCCTGGTCTATTTTATCTCACTTGACAAGATGACTGTTGTAGTAGAGTTTTATCCAAAATGTTTAACAGAGGAACAGCTCGGCTCCAATCTGAATTCATTGCAAAGCTTTATTTTATCTCAATTCCATCTTTGCATTTATCTAAAAAATGATCAGTATAAAACACTGAAATGTGGTGTTTAGGGATGAAAATTTAACATACTTAATTTGATATTTACAATAACTTTGTAAATRTATGTCATTAAGAAAAAATAAATTGAAGTTAGAGTCCTTTGTGCAAATGTTTCTAAAACAATCAATCTATTTATTAATACCCAGATGAGGAATTCTTATTTTTGCTTTTTAGCCTAAAAATGTTTAAAAAACAAAWTAATCTTGAAGATTCAGGTTTAAGCGCAGGTTGCATCAGGAAGGGCATTCRGTGTAAAATAATTGTCAAATCTTTTACTTGCCGTGGCAACAGGAGCAGCTGAAAGAAAAAAAAAAGCTAATTGTGCAGAAGGAAGACGTACTTGATTCTTGTAGCATGGTATAGTCGCAATGCTTGAGAGAATGTTGGTTTTCAGAGTATGGAAACAAGATACAGAGAAGCTAGCAGGATCACAGGACTAGTGAAAGAAGAAYGTCACATTGTTGTGCTGCTGTGGCTTGTTTGAGGTTTTATGTGTCTCTGTGTGTGCCATCGTCAGGATGAACACTTGCAGTAATAAGCTTCTATATGATCCCTCAGCAGTTCCACTCTGTGCCAAGACATTAAAACAAGCCCACAGGAGAATTATGGCATGTGCCCTTGCACACTCATGGATCAAACTTGAGGGTAGTGGACAAAAGAATTGATTTGTCACAGCTGAAGCAAAACATTTTTGTACTTTTACTTTTCCCAGATCCACATTTCCCTGAAGGCAGACTCTTCATACTATTTTCAGCCTTGAGTGCATTTGATGGTATCCATTAATTGTTCTTCCCTCTGATTTGAAGCTTTTACTGCTCTGGGTTGTGCTAAATTTGAAGCCACATGATTGCCACCACAGGATTTTACTCGGTTGTTGTTTTTTGTATTTGTTTTATGCGGCTTCTAGGCCTTTTTAAAACAAATAGTGACRTACCTTCAGCTGCTTTCACCTTGTTGCCAAACATTTTGAAATCTGTATGCTACAACCAATATGGAAATATATATAAAAAAGTTGGATTCTAAATAAACCAAACAATTGTAGCCATAATATATACTTGGTGGAGCACATTTTATAGATAGAATAAAAACAAATGCTTGCTTAACTGTTGCAGTTAATGACTGCCTGAGCTGCAATCCACAGAAATCGACAGATGCTTGGCATCTTCCCTGGTGAGATGCTGCCATGCCCAGAGTGCAGCCATCTTAACTTATTGCTTGTTTCAGGAGTGCTGTTTAGTGAGGGAAACACCTGCTTACTTGAGTTGAGATGATTGGGTAGTCAAGAATATTGTCCTGTTAAAAACTTATACGATGCTTGCAGGGGTTCTTAACCTTTTTGACCTCGGGGCCCAGTTTGTTGAACGTAAATTGTCACAAGGCCCAGTCAGACATTACCAATGGACGGATTAAAATGACAATCATTCTAAATCTTGGTTTAATTTTTATTGTATTTACATCATAACTAAACCATCACAATTAACATAACTTAATTAAATACACTTAAAG